ACACACACAAAAAATTAAAAGGATGTTTGCCTAATATGGGTCATATGTTATAGTTATGCTCAGCATTGGCTGCATTTAATCAGCTACATGGTTGGTTTTCATTAATGAGCACTTACTGTTTTTGCCAGCAGGTTAATGTTAGACAATAAACTTTGTGAGGTTTCCTTGTATGCAAATATAAGTTGAGGAATTTCTTTCCCTGTGCTTTTTGGGGACAAAAACCCTTGTCTTGTATTCATGTAAAGATGGTAATATTCCAAGGCAGTGATCATGGCTGATACGGATGCAGGCACTGAATCAGAAGTCCTTAAACTTCTGGAAGCTGTAGTAGGAAAGGAGCAAGAATTCTGGACTTACACACCCTCCTCAGCATCCACGTTCTGCCTCTACATGAAATGACAGGATGTGAGTCTAGGTGGACCTGTGGTCTAACCCATTATGTGGTCATTTTATGTTCAACACACCCTGGGGTAAGGGGGGAAATTTAGGTTGAGCATGAAACTAGCATACAGTGAAGAAAAGGCTTAAGAATGTACAAAGGTTCATAATGGGTAGTGAAGGTATTTTGTAGCTATAGAACAAATTTTCATTTTTGCATCCAGTATTAAGCATGAATTTAATCATAGTAATAATGACATCTAGTAGAAGAAGGTACATCCCTAACTTGTTATAATGTTGACCTTGAGAATTGTTCTGAATTAAAAAAAAAGGAAACTAACTTAAATTCTTAGAGAAACAGATTTTTATTTTGAAGTAATAATTATTCAGTGTTTTGAAACTTTGGGATTTTCCAAAAATGAAAAGGAAATGCTTTTTTTAACAAAGAACTTTATTAATAATGGTTGGTATGATATAAAGTTAAGAAATACCCTGGTGAAACAAACAGGAAATAACCTGTTTTGTGGTTTGATTGTGTTTTTTGCTGCATGTCTTTTAATTTAATACAGTTATGTGTTTCTTGACCTTTCAACATACTTGCTGTTTCTGAAAAATATCTTGGAAACTCATTGTTATATCTATCACTTTCTGTACTTGTGATTTTTTTTCCAATTGTTCTTTATCTGAAAAGAACATAAAAAAACAGGTATGAAGTATAATGGCTTTAAACTTTTCTTTGAATCATATGAGCTACTTTCAAGAGATGTTTATGTATCTTAATCTCAAACATTTCTTAGCAGATGATTCCCAGTCCCTTTCAGAAGGGTCCTTTCCCAAACTAATTTTTTTTTCTTTTTGTATTGTGTGTGTGTTAGAAAACAGATCCCTTTCATGTGGAATATCAGATCAAAAGAATGCCTTCTGAAAGAGCAGCAACACAGAAAATTCTTTCTGTGATTGGTGATTGTATTGCTAACTTTAGTCCTGGTTGTACACACATACAAAAGATACTCGACGCTCGCTGTCCACTGATGAGATTTTTCCATCAGCCAACAGGATTCCAGTGTGATCTGACAGCTAACAATCGGTAATACTGTGGTAATAACCTTTTATAAACATGTAAATCAAATAATAGTTTACTTGTAGTTCGGAAAGCTGTAGTTAAAACTGTTTATGTAAGCTTCTGTATGTTACTGTTTCATTATCAAGCAAGCATAAAAGGAGCATATTCCTAACATTTTTCTTAAATACATTTGAAAACTATTTTTGAACTTCCATATTCTTTAACTTAGCAGAAAATATCTGCTTGAGACATGAAACCTTTATGCAATGATAGTTACTTATAGAATCAAAAGAACGGCTTGTTTGTTTTTTGTGGTTTTCTGGTTTTTCTTTTTTTCTCTTTTTCCCCCTGAGTGCTCCATTGCTGTCAGGCAATTGTTTAATCCTGGTGCTTTGTGTTCCTTCAATTCCCATTTAGTATTCAGCCATCCAGTCATTTGAATGCGTCTTTCATAGAAATGCCTGTTGGGGGGGCAGGTTTCTTAAAAGTGCCCTTTTTGCCTGCTGCCTGCCGTTTTCCTAGATTTACTTTCTTTTCTGATTACATGGAATCACTTAGCCATGTAACTACCATGAAGTGCGCGATTATTTTATTTTTACTTATGAGCTGGGAAAAAAAACTTGCTATTAGTTTTGCACAGTGCTCTGTATGCTTGTCTCTAAATACGTTATCTAACTTAGTTGTCTAAACCTTTCTGTTTGTGCTAGAGTGGTAAATTTTCATAAACCGGCTTTAAGGAGAGATTTCTGTTTTATATGACTTTATTCCAGTTTTGATCTTGCAGTCAAACCCTGTGCCAGAGTATCAGGATTACCCAGAATAATTTTGAATGACCTTGTTCAGAATATAAAGGTATCGCAACTGAAAAAAATAATCATCAGATCCTTCAGAACTAATTGCTCCATTGCTTCTGAACAGAGTCATACATGCAGGAGGAGCAACAGCTGAGACTAGTGTAATTTGGTTATGCAATTATCAAGGACCTTTTCTGGGCAGGATTTTTCTTAATTTTTTACTCTTTTAAAAGATAGTCTTTTCAGTCATACTGCTGCAGGAATTTGTCTACAGAATTCAGCATTTGTCATAAATTGGGCTTTACTACAGAATTTGGCTCCATTGTCTTCCAAAGTATGGATATTTTTCCTTTTTTATTCTCCCTGAGAATGTTTCATTATCTTTTTAACATTTAATATTTGTGATATCTTGTAATTGGGCCTAAAAGTCATCATAAAAGAGACATGCCCAAGAAGAAAGAGAGAGGGAATTAATGTTCAATTCAGTTGCAGTACAGCTGAATGAAGTGTTGTCTTCTTTAGTTCTCTTGGTTGCTGCAGGGTTAAATCAGTTTCCTTAACTCTTACTGATAATTTGGTTTCAGTTATTTATGCTCATTTGTATTTCTCTAGATAATAACCTTATTGAAACTTCAAACTAAACTTACTTTTTTAGAATATCTCTTCTATCAGTTTTATAAGTTAGGGTATTTTCCTAAGCTCTCAGGTATAATACTTAAGAATTTATGTGGAACATAAAAGGAGAACTTGCAACATGCAGGGAAGTTGGAATCTTTGGAGAATTTTTAGCTGTTTTAACAAGCTTCTGAGCATGTACAAACCCAGACTTTTCATAGGTTTATG